GGTAAGCAAAGCCTTTTATAGTTCTTTCACTTACGTCCAGATTTAGTAATTTCTAGTGTTGCTCTCCTAGAAAGGTGATGAAACTCGTGGCAGGGAGCGGGGTCACATATTTTACGCTTTGTCTCGACAAAAATAAGCAAGATTTTAATTCTCGTTCCCCGTTAATAAAGTGTTCCATTGCACAAAATGAAGTCACGTTAATCAGGAGCACGGTTCGAATTAGGCTGAGACATTTTCAAAAAAAAAAAAAAAATTGATGATGCAGAGAGGAGGAAATATGCTGAAGAATACAAAAATGGAAAGATACTTTCAAAATGCTTTTGCTGTTTGTGATGGAAAAATTTGTGTCAGTCAGTCGAAGATTGCCCTTTAGAATTCACTTACATCCGTCGTGTTTACTTTAGCCGGTATCCATGCAGTCGTCAGAATTTTGACAGGTGCAGTATTTCATTTCCTCCCACGTAAATGCATTATCTTGTGGACATTTAAAAGCTTACTTGTATGTAAAAATGTTGACGTCTTTCATCTCCCTTTCGTATATTTGGTGGAATCGTGCCTTATGCATTTCAATGTGATTTTCTATATTGTAGAAAGGCATCTCTAAAGTTGTATTTATCTAATTGAATGCTTGCGCTAAACTCAAAACACTGTTCCCAGCATCTCCACCGACTTCACGCTGTATATTTATAATCATGTCTCTTCTTGTGTGTAATATAAATCTCTTCAACTGTTTGATCAGCCTCACGTATTTTGTCCTAATTATGTTCATCTCTTCGTTAAACCTGTGGTAGCGCATGGATATAGGGTGATAGAAACAGGAGAAAAGTATAACCAGTATAAATATTTATTTATTATACTGAAATAGGGTACTTAAATGTGTGTACTCTGGGGCTGGAGGCTGGATTTTAACTTGCGGATTAGCTAGTAGTGATATTACGGCGGCGTTGAGAAAATGTCGACACTTGTGGAGTAGTCATATTCATTTACGAGGTTGCACAGTCTGAGTGCACCTAGTGCTGTGCCCGTGTGAACGTACATACCCTCTAAGAAGACTGTCAACAAATGCGTTGAGTAAGAGTTTCTCTAACCTACTAGCTACGTATGCCTTTCAGCTGTTAGTGGGACATCGTCTTTTCAGGTATTATACCACGCGAGAAGCAGCAGGAAATCAAAACTGTTCGCATTGTGAAGCGAGAATCGGAAAGAA